AGTAAAAAATATTGTTCTCAGTTTTCACCACGAGAAGATAAAATAATGATAAGATATGAAACTTCAAGCCAGTGTATTTAATGTTCTTTTTATTATATAGTCGTTAGTAAAAATAACACAAAGAAAATGAACATTTAATCGATATCTTCACTAGGGGAGATCTAGTTATGGAAAATATCTCACTGTGTATTTTTTGTGTTCGCCACTGTCTACTATATAATAAATTAGGGTACGAGTGCTTTTGTTTTGAATTAAGAATACAAACAATGAAGTACATGATATGAAAAAGGTATCTCTGTAAAAAGATTTATTATAACATTTAAAAATTGTGCGGAAACCATGTCAGGTCAGGGGGCAGATCATTAATGAGGTACGGAGTAATAGCGGCTGCTTAAAGTGCCATCTGTAAGGGCTCACAGTCTACCTCGGTCTGCTTCACGCCAGTTCCGGTCCTGATATAACCAGTCACTGAAAAACCTTGATAGGGAATGTGCTGTGCAATATCTGTAACTGTAATCTGTAACTCAAAATTACCACAAATGCAGGGGCGTAATTGTCGGGTGTGTGTGTGTGTGGGGGGGGGGGGTTGGTTCACACCCCAGAGAAATGATCCAGTCGGTCTCAAACTAAGTGCAGTCGGTCTCAAAATTATGCATTTGTTTACACGTGGTGCTTTGCGAAGCAAACTAAATATTTAATATTTTCGAAACTCGGAGACATTTCAGACTCACGGAATCAAGCAGCTCAGAAATAATATGAAGAAATATTATCAGTCAAAACCCACGCCAAGGGATGAAGTTTCCATTTACTTATATCGATATGTCACGATTTGCACTTTTATTTGGAATTTAGGTTCCGCAAGGTCATTCACGGGTGATATTCTTAGCGCAAATTTCAAACCCCCAAAATCACTGATACTCAGAAATACGATGAATATCAATCAAAATAGCTTTACATTAGTTACAATATTACTCCGGTCCCTATACTATATCAGTAACATGCAAAGTGCAAAAGCAAATTTTTAGCCGAGTTATATACTATGTTCACAAATATTCACATGTAGCACGATATACATATGCCTTTTGCCGACCAAAGAGCATTATATGCCTACTGCAATCAAGAAATTTGATCAGTGAACGACGCCCTGGTTTATCTGAAAACACGGAGCGAAACATTGTTTCCACTGACTAGGCGATATTTCCAATGATTGCTTACAGTCAGGCCCGTAACTAGGTATGAGTCAATCGAGTCGGTGACTTGGTAAGAATATTCGTGAAAAATTTAAATCAAATTCAATGACAGACTGTAGTTCTCTCCATGTGAAGAAGAATTCTTGCCCTACAGTGACGTAAGAAGTGGGAGCCTGGCCCAATAACAGAAGTGCGGGCCAGCGCCCCAAATATTACAACAATTTTTTATTATGCATCTGATCATGTTCGACCAAGAATTGGGGCACAGATTCGGGGCAAACTACAGTAAAAAATTATAGTCCGATTGTGTCACTGTTTATGAAATTGATTTTTCGTTTGAACTGCTCCCAGAGTGCAGGAAATAGCGTTTCTAAGCCTTAGAAAATCAAAAATTTTCTGGGGGAGCATGTCCCCAGACCTCCACCCCACCCACCCCAGAAGTGTCTTGGTCAATCAAAAATCCTAGTTACGTGCCTGACACTTCCTGTAACATTCGCATCTGCCGAGCGCAGCTTTTCAAAGCTGAAATGATTGAAAACTGTTATGCGTTCAGTAATCGGAATCAGAAACGCCTCGGTGAACTCTTGACTCTTGCGTGTGAGCGCGATCTAACAGACACGATCGATCTCGACGAAATCGCTAATCCGGGGTCAAAACTGACAAAGCGCGGACAATTAATGAAAAATACGATGTCTCGCAGCAAACTGTACGTATTCTTGCAAAATTTCTAATAAATGACATGAATTTCCATGCTTTGTGCTCAATTTTATTGCAACACACCAACTCACCAAGAGTCGATCTGGATTCACATTTCAGTGGTGGGTCGGTCTCATTTCGTGATTACACCCCCCTAGTCAAAATCAATATGTACGCCCCTGACCACAAGGTGTTGTGGCCACAACCGACAAAAAGGTTACTGAGCATTTCCGATCGCGCACGACCACAATGTAGGCCTACATGCAGCTGCGGTAAACAATGGTTTAAGATAAAATTAAATTATGTATAAATTTGCGTCAGGCTCGCTCGCTCCGCAGCAAAAAAGGTTGGGTGAAATACAATTTTCATTTTCCCTAAAAGTAAAGAAAAATATCCAACTCGAAGTTTAACTCGAAGTCCAACTCGAAGTCCAACTCGAAGCCCAACTCGAACTCGAATCCAACTCGATGTTACCTAACTCCCATACAAATCTATACAAAAGTGGGGCCCCAGAATCGGGTGGCGACCGGTGACTTCCGGCTTCACTTTTGTATACTATAGATGTGTTATCCAGTCTTATTTCAGATCAGTGTGGGGAGCACCTGGCAGTTCTTGTATACTGTCATGGCGGACAAACATGGAATTTAGTACAAAACTATATACTCTGTGTGTAAAACCTTATTTTCTGGCGAAGAGTCGAATTGAACGCCATTGGCAAATAATAATAAATTTGTAGATGTTTGATGACATGCAAAATGCGCGAAAAATTATGAGTAAATTACATGGCAAGTTAACCGTGCGAATATTTCGAATATGTCATTCGGTATTACATGGAGAATAATAGAATGCTATCAGTTGCTTAGTATAAAACAGTAACAGAGAAATTATTAGAAAGTCATATAATTGCTTTTGTATTAATAACTTCTTTAGCTGAAGGCTCGATCAGTCGATCACAATGCAATGGCAATTTCTATTAAATGTATCAGTAAACAAAAGCCCAGGGATGAAAGTTCACGGATAACACCGCAAGCTATCTTTAACTTAATGTCAAAACAATATCAAAATAACAAAATTGTCCCGGCAAGCGGGTTGAAATTTTCTCATATGTTTGCAAGAGAAATTCATCCCGCTTACCGCGGGCTGTCTCGCTAAGCGGGCCAGCCCGGCTTCCATATAAACAGCACCTAAGAAACTACCATGCAATAGATTTTCCCAAGGTCTATGGCCTGTATTGCGAATTATAGAGTGTCATAGAAATATGGTTTGAAGTCGGTCTAGTTATGTTAGAACCGCATTATTATATTGCTACCACGACGTTATGAACTATGCGCAGACATAATTCATGCGAGTCTTTCATTAACAATTGCAACCTATTAAAGCTTAATAGTGCTCCAATTAATCCTCTTAAAGACGCCATTGCAGACCAGACCTATATACATACTCATAATTACGATTTAAGATTTGAGCCCAATAATATGCGAAGAACAAATACGGGAACGATTTAAAAAAGTTTACAACTTACTGCAAAATCAATATTATGGTCACTAATTAGGTTACTGGTGATAAACATCGATCATTTCAATACTCAGAATGAAAAGTTATTTTCTGATTCACGGCCAATACATTAGTTGCATTACAATTTACAGCCCACCGTATTAAAATAATTCGTTATTTTGTTTTCAAAAATACATCGTTGATTAAAAAAACCTGAGTAAAAACTGCAAAAGTCGAGGAAGAGACTTTAGAGAAAACACGAAAAACAGAGGAAGTAAGGGTATTTTGCGAAAATTAAACGTTTTTTGTCTGGGAGGGGGGGGGAGGGGGGGGTGGCTGAAAAGGTGCAAAAGGGCGAGATACAGTAAAATTTCTGTAAATACCGCACTAATTTTGTGTTTTTCAGACAGATACGGCTGTAACACTTTATTTAAATTTAACCTCCTACAACATTGCATACTGATTATTTTTGACCTGCTCTTTTTTCAGCATGAGCTCCACCTTTAAATTTACTATATCAGTAAATTGTTAAACACGTCCGAATTTTGAAACTATCAATAGAATAAATCATAAAACCACAAGATTTTACGATTTATTCTATTGATAGTTTCAAAATGTGCCGCGAATTTATCATATCGATAAATTCGGACGTGTTTAACAAATGAATTTACTCATATAGTGAATTGAAAGGTGGAGCTGGTGTTGTCTTTTTTGTGGTATTTATAGAAAGCTGACATCAAATGTTAACCAGAAAATATAAAATGTAAAAGTTACTTCAGCCTGTCACCAAAAAGGGCAGTTTTTTAGCCTTTTGTTGTGCTAAACAAATCGAGGTATTGGTACCTGAGCAATTTTCCCCTTTCCATATATATCCTTTTGGACACTGGCACTTGTATGAACCTGGAGTGTTTGTGCAGATTTCTCTTCTTCTACATTTGTGAGTTCCTTTTGCGCATTCATCGACATCTGAAATACATTTAATTCTCGAATATTAATGGTTCATTATTCAAAACGAAACTAACAACGCTGTATAAAATCAATATACGCCACCATGCCATACCATTAAAACAATGCCATATTTTTTAAATATTATTTTACCATATACCATCTCAGTTGAACTGTGCCATACTAGGCTATATCATATAAATAAATGCTATATCATATCATACCATGCCATTCCGCACGACGCCATATTACAACGGCACCATATTATACAAGATCGTAGCGCGTCATACCAGATTATACTATGCAGTACTTTGTTTTCAAAATTAGACAGTAGGAATAAATTGTTTCATTATAAGTTTGCAAAACGTATCTGAGGTAGTGTACACAGCACTATCTCAACACTCTGGCACACTATTGCATATCGTACTGGTGTAGCCGTGTGAGAACAATTAAGAAACAGCTTTCCCATACATCATTAGATATTCATAGCATTTCGGCCAATGACATGGTTTAATTTACATCACGTGTATCTATCTGGATACCCCGTCTAGACCAGGACTTTAATTACTTCAAGTGGGAAGGGCTTTGAACAATAGGGAAATTGAGGCGTAAACAAAAGATTATGCAAATATATTTAATTGCTATGTTTACAAGCCACAAAGTGCATTTCTTAACATGAAAACAAGCATGCTTCGTCGGGAATTCAAGATACAAGGACAAATCGGAGAGCCAGGGCATAAAGATAAACAAGCATATCAGTCACTCATTTCACAGATTGAAATTGGGCTGCAAAAGGGTTACACAGAAGAGGAAATTACCGATGCTGTTGCTACAGCTGTTCAGGCTGGGTTACAACTACGAAGTTATTTCGAGAGAATAAATGGGTTGACATTACCACGGTAACGTAAATACTACGCTATCATTTCCAAGAGAAAAGTGTTACCGAGCTCTACCAGCTCTTGGCTAATATCAGTCAAGCCCCAAAAGAAAGTCCACAAGAATTTTTAATACGTGCCCTGACGATTCGGCAAAAAATAGTGTTTGCATCGAAATAATCGGATACTAAGATCAAATATGATGAAGGCTTGTCCAAGGCCTATTCTTGCACGCTTTCTAGAAACTGGCCTTGCCGATGAAACCATCCGGGCAAAAATGAGGCCACTCCTTAAGAACGAATCAGGGGCTGATGAAGAGCTAATTGGAGTAATGAGCTCTGCGATGGCTGCTGAATCAGAAAGAGCCACGAACTTCAACCAGGTGGGCCGAACAAAGTCCTCACCAAAGGTCTCAAAGATAGAAACCGAAGCGCCACCAAGACCTGCAGAGTCACCAAACACACATAATAGTGAGATACTGGCCACATTAAAAGCTGTCCAGACAGAATTGAATACAGTTCAGTCCGAGGACGAAAGTAGACTAGAAAGATTCCCCTCAAGGACACCCCCCTTCCCGTACCTTCATGACGGATCGTGTTGGTCAAAACCGAAGAAATGATGGTCGTCAAGGTGACTACCCCCCATTGTGTAAAAATTACCAGGAAGAGAATCAAGTTAATTGTCCTCATTGTTTCAAATGTGGAGGAAGAGACCACACTGCCCGATATTGCAGGTCGGCAAACGAGAGGAGGCTACCCCTGAGGGACTAGGAGTGGCAGCGTCAAACCAGAATAAGTCCCACCGATGCAATACCAACCAAGACGAAGTTCACGCTAACTTTAAACGTTGTTCTACTTGAAAACTGGTGTATTATTGCTCAAAATCATGTCAAAAAAGACATTGGAGTGAACACCAAATACTTTGCAACGCCATTAAGGAACAACTAAATCAACACAATGAAACTCTCAGAGGACTTGGAGATAGTTCGGACACAGAAATGTTTGCAAGTTACCTTTCTCCAAAGAAACACACTGCAATTGCTAAACTTGTTGGTCGGAAATGCTCTGTTCGGTGTCTTGTAAATGATGTTGACATGGAAGCGTTATGAGACACTGGATCCCAGGTCTCCATTTTCACGGAGCAGGTACTGTCTGACAATTTTTCTGATTTGAAAATACGTGATATTAGTGAATTGCTTGGTGCGGATTCTGGTCTGAATTTAACTGCGGCAAATGGGACACCAATGCCTTATAAAGGCTGGGTGGAAGCTAGATTTAGATTAAACCGAGAAGATGAAAATTAAGAAGCAACAGTACCATTCTTAGTAACACCCGAACAGTTGGAACAACCAGTAATTGGGTACAGTGTTATTGAACTGTTTTTGCAAGAAGGTGAAAACTACTGAGATAATTTATCAGTGTTACACCATATAGTGTCAAGTTTTAATAATGTTGGAGTGAAAGATGCCGAGCAATTGATAAACATTATCCAAAGAAATTGGCTCGCCAGAATCAGAATCAGAAACCGGTATGTAAAGTGACCACAAATAATTTCCAAATATCGTATAATAATAGTAGTTTGTAGTTAGTATTTGATCTAAAATTATAAATACAAGAATTATCTACTGAATAAAGTAAATTAGTAATAATAAACCACATGAACTTACTTCTTTGGCCTATATCACTTTACAATATACCAAATATAAAGCTATTTCTGAACGTTAAACCTAGAGTCACCTAAAACCAACTTGTTTATTTCCCGCTATTTTCTGTCACATGACTTCGTCTGTTCAATGACGTAATTGTTTATCTATTTGTAAATTAGCAAAACAGAAATGATGGGGAGTTGTTTTGCCAAGTGAAAACATCCAAACGCCACATTACAATACTGAAGAAAGCTACCAAAACTGTACCCTGTCGAGCAAATACGGGAACGATTGAGAATACAAGACCAGTGTTTTTTGAACCTGATGAAAAACAAGAGTGCCCCCCCCCCCCGGATTAAAAGTTCATGAAACCTTAACATCTGTGAAAAAGGGAAAATCCACTATTATGCAAGTGCAAGTGACAAACGATACAGTGCATGACATCGTACTACCTGGACGGACTGTTTGGGAAGCCTTGAACTTATTCGTTCTGTTACACCGATTGAGGTGAAATTAAAGGAAAATGTAGATGAAAAAAGAGCTGATATGAATTTTGGAATGAAGAAACAGAGGACTAGTTAAACTAAGGACCCTTGCCATTCAGCTGTAAATTCTAAGAAAAAACAATTCATACCGGAAGTCGATTTAAGAACTCTCACACCCGAACAGCACACTTTGGTAAAAAAAATGTTGTGTGAGGAGCGAGATGCTTTTTCGATTGGTGATGACGACATTGGGTGCATCAAGGACTTGAAAATGGAGATAAATCTTACAGACAGACAACCGGTTCAGAAAAATTATGCGTCCATTCCACGTCCACTTTACCCGGAAGTGAAATACTATCTGGAAGACCTACTGAACAAAAACTTTATCAGACGATCGAAGTCACCTTACTCTAGCAGCGTGGTGTGCGTCGGGGAGAAGGATGGAACCATGAGATTATGTGTCGACTACTGTGTACTGAATAAAATGATCATTAAACAGACACCCCATCCCCGGGATACAAGAAGCCTTAGATAACCTAGGGCGGAACTCTTGGTTCAGTACATTAGATCAAGGCGTATCATCAAGGCTTTGTCAGCACAGGGGCTTTACGAGTGGGTACGCATCCCTTTCGGACTAACGAACGCATCAGCTAGTTTCCAACGGTTTATGGAAGGATGCCTAGGGGATTTACGTGACCAGATATGAATTTTTTATCTCAACGATATTATTATATTTTCCAAATCATTCGAAGAGCATGTTGAACACATACGTCTAGTTCCGTGGAAACTGCAACAACATGGTGTTAAATTGAAGCCAGGGAAATGCAGGTTATTCAAGCGTCAATTATCGTTTCTTGGGAGAATAGTATCAGAAAAGGGTTGTAACATTGATCCAAAAGCAACCGAAACTGTTATCCTGTTGAAGAGCAAAATACCGCGGACTGTCGGAGAGGTTCGAAGAGTAATTGGGTTGATGTTTGTGATGTTACTCTGAGTGTATATCCACACCGGGAAAACTTGAAAAATATGCCTGACCACGGTGGGAATCGAACCTACGACCTTTGGAACACTAGCCCAATGCTCTGCCAACTGAGCTACGCGGTCTGGTCGGTTCGAGTATGTGATATTTCGGAACTGAGTCTAGTTCCTTCGATATCAATGCAATCTAATAATCATGAATTTTCATATATTCACCTGAGTACATAACACCATCACAGAAAATTCATGGTAATTGGGTTGTTTGGAGTATACCGACGTCATGAGTATACCGCCGGAGGCCCCCGTTAGGATTATACCGCCGGAGGCCCTCGAGACAGACAAGCTATTCTTGCCAGAGCGAGAAAACACCATCCAGTTCAAACAGACGGAGATCGCTAGAGCGCAACGAGAAGACCCAACGACAAGTCGGGTTCAGTGGTATGTACGGGCACGAAAGAAACCAACTCTCGAAGAAAAGCAACAACAAACCCCTGAACTAGAAAAATACCTCCGGGAGTGGCATAATCTCGTGATCGACAAGAAGACCGGTATTTTGTATCGAGGCCAGCAACTTGTATTACCAACGAAGTATAGAAAAAACCATGACCAGCCGACAATTTTAAAAAATAGAGTAAAAAACAAATTCCAAAAATACAGGACATCTTGAGAATTCAATATATAATTCAAAACAAGACGCAGTTTGAGACTGTAAATTTTCGACTTTATTGGATCCTTAGTATTTCGAGAACTACACGAGAAAATGGGCCATCTCGTTTTCAACCTCGCGAGGGAACGGTTCTATTGGCCTGGAATAAAGAACGATATTGAACATTTATCACGCACGTCTGTAGTTGTGTTAAACAGAGAAAACCCACCTTTACCAACAGAGAACCACTTCACTCCATTTCTACGTCCGCACCATTCGAACTGGTATCAATTGATTTTGTATACCTTGGTCATAGTCGACCACCTTACCAGATATACACAAGTGTATCCAACACGGAACAAGACTGCGGCCACCGCAGCCGATAAAATTTACAATGATTTCATTCCGCGCTTCGAGTTCCCATCTAGAATACATCACCACAAGGGAGGGGAGTTTGAAAATAAACTGTTTCGTAGACTAGAGCAGCTCTCGGGAATCGCACATTCAAGAACAACACCCTATCATCCACAGGGAAATGGCCAGGTGGAGCGGATGAATAGGACTTTGCTACACATGTTGTGAACGTTACCCGAAGTGTACAAGCCTAATTGGAAGGATCACGTGAACAAACTAATACACGCGTATAATTGTACGAAGCATGAATCTACTGGCTTCTTCCCGTTTTTGCTACTGTTAGGTAGACCACCTCGTCTTCCCATTGATTTGATATTTAACTTAACAAGAAAAGAAGAATCAATCTGTTATCCAGCTTATGCCAATAAATGGAAGAAAGCAATTCAGGAAGCTTACCTGTTAGCATCCAAGTCTGCGGAGAAAGCGGCGTCTAAGAGAAGGAAGCAGAGCGATAAACGCGTAAGGTTCGATTGTCCTCTTACCTGGTGACCGAGTGCTTGTCCGAACCTATCACCACGCGGAGGTCCAGGCAAAATACTAGCGTTCTGGGAAGAGGAGATTCACGTAGTGGTATCGAGGAAGAATCCCGAGAGTCCTGTTTATGATATCAAACCCGAATCAGGAAAGGGAAAGATACGCGCGTTGCACAGAAATTTACTGTTACCTTGTGATTATTTTCAAAAAATATTTTCTATACAAAATGGCCGCCGGTCACGACTTTTCGAGCTCTACAAAAATCGGAAATTTGACGTCTCTGAACCTTGACTTAGACATTATTAGGTCTTTGAAAGGTTGTGGTCACTTAACGTATGACGGAACCCGAATTAAATGGTCGCAGGATCTTCAATCACTAAAGAATTTCGTTGAAAATATTGTCGGCCTACGAGGCAATTGGTCATCACCTGGTGGTAAAGCTAGGAGGTTTACCAGCTTAAATTTTGATCTGATCGCGACGTGGTACCCGGGCAAACAGAATTCGCTATTATTCCAAGGAAAGGATGGTGATCTGCTCAAGAATTATCTGGTGAGTGTCTTAGATATAACTTGTATTGGCCAAACAACCACGGTTACGGACACTGATTTTATGACCAACATAGCGGATTCGGTATTTGACACTGAGACTGTAGAGATATCTCCAGTTAAAACATGCGAAATTATCACTGACAATAACCCGGCAGTTGCTGAATCGACCCCGTTAAAACATCTCAGTTGGTCGTACAATACTTTTACCAACGATATGAAAGGGGTTAAAGCGGACATAACAGTTATGCAAAAACAAATAACATCTATAAACAATGTTATTAACTCTACCAACGCGATTATAGAATCTATTAGTAAGGTTTTGGACTCTACCGAAAACCGTCAAATATCGTACGACACCAGAATGGAGACCTTGCTTAAAGAGTTTTCCATAATTTTAGACGAGAAAAACAGAGCGATAAACGAGCGAGATATCACTATTAAACAGCTTCAAGAAAATTTGTTAGAAATTGAAAATGAAAGAAACTCATTAAATCTTAAGAATTTACCAACAAAGCATGTTGACAATAAAAGTAAGACTGCATCGCCGCCAATGCAGCCCTTGATGTGTCAAATGAATAATATTGAAAATTTAATCAACTTGTCTAAAATTAACGATCTATGTGATATTGAAACCGATGTCTTGGGCGATGCATCCAAATCTGATGATATGCTTCTAAGTCCAAATACTTCTACAATAAAGGAACTTGAGGCCTTTATCGACAAGTCTTTCTATAGCGCCTCTGTCGAGCTATCTAATCCTGTCCAGCCGACGGACTTCTCTACTCTAGCACAAAGACGCTCTGAAGAAAACCTGCCTAAACTCGAAGCTCAATTTCTGTCATTTAAAGAAAACGTTGAAACTCAGCTACAAGTTTTGTCGTACAAACTCTTTGAACAGAATAATACCATAAATATAAATAAACAAGAGCTATGCAAATTGACCTGCAAAAATTTACATCTTAAATCACGTATCTCGGAGTTGGAGGGGAGATTGTCGCCAAAGAATACAACAAATGGGATTAGTGACCTGAGCCTGCGTGGCAAAATAGTTAAAGGAAACACTATCTTATCTGCGAATATAGATTCTTGTGCTATTTCTGGTCGCCTTTCGCCTGAAACAACTGCATATGTCGATGACAGTGATGAATATGCTATCTCAACTACGAATGACACTTCGGCCCCTATAAGTCAACAGTGTGGTGAAGATAACAGCGGAGATTATGATAAAGAGACTTTGAACCGGACTGACAATATCGTCAACCCAGAACGCACAATCAAGTCAACAAAGCAAGTTTTGAACCCGTTAAGTAATCCAACCATGGATAACCATGGAGAGAACAAAGAAAACATCGGTCTCGTATCAGCGAACAGTATCGAGAGGTGTCAGCATAATTCGATCTCTTACGAGCAAGAATTAAGGTCCCCCAAAACCCCAACTAGGTCAACAAATAAGCCTCGCCAGAAGCCAAATACAAAGGCTGCCTTACAAAGCACAAATGTTAACAATAAAATCAAGTCTGATCTGCCCCTCCCGACCCGCTCTAAATCCCAAGTACCTGAGTGGCTTTCCCGTTTACCTTTGGTTGAAATCCCAGTTGACTATAGTCAATCTCCTTTTCCAAAGCGTCAGCGAACCCAGAACCCACCATACCAGCAAATCGGATGTCCCCGAACTAAATCCCAAGTACCCAAGTGGCTTTCTTGTTTACCTTTGGTTGAAATCCCAGTTGATTATAGTCAATCTCCTTTTCCAAAGCGTCAGCGAACCAAGAACCCACCGTACCAGCATATCGGATGTCCCCGAACGAGGGATTGGCTGAGTTACCTCGACTTTGTTCGCCAAGCCACGGGAACCAATTCGAAATTACATCATTCCGACCGATCTCAGCTAACTCTTGTTTCACGCCTAACAATATCTTAATGGGAAGTAATATACCCAAGTACCCTAACGAATCAAGTGCTATCCCGATCATAATTTCATACCGCAACCGTAGACATAGAACAAAACGAAATGGGCGGAATATTAATAATTTAATATCTGTGAGGCACAATAATCTTATAGAAACTACTAGTCGTTCTAAACCTCATGCACTTCCAAGCTTTGGCCTAATAAATGCCCGCTCGTTATTGCCTAAGATCGACGAACTTGCTGTACTTTTGGATGGTAACCCAATGGATCTAGTGGCTATAACAGAATCGTGGCTACACAAGGATGTTGATGATAGCTTGATATCAATCAGTGGCTATAATATCCACCGTAACGATCGTACAGGTAGCCGGGGCGGTGGTGTGTGCGTTTATTCTTTGAAAAACATTCCCTGTCAACGGAGACTAGATTTTGAAAATCCGAATTTTGAATGTCTTTGGTTATGGATCCGCCCGACACGACTGCCAAGACCTCTCTCGGCTATTGCAGTTTGCGCTGTGTATAACCCCCCTGGCAGAACTGCTGAAGAACTACGTGATCTTGATGAATATCTGATGAACACAACGGATTCCATTAGGAATTGTTATCCTAATTGTAGAATCGTATTCCTTGGTGATTTTAATAATTTTGATGTTTCGAACCTAACCCGTAGTCTTAGTTTGAAGCAAGTCGTTTCTGCTCCTACAAGGGGGTCATCTACCCTTGATCTCATCGTCACCGATTTACAAGATTTTTATGACAAGCCGCATATTCTTGCTCCGCTTGGGTCTGCTGACCACAACATAGTACGATGGGTTCCTAATAAAGTTGATGCTATTACCAAACCTAAACCGATTAAGCGTCTCATACGCCGCTATCCGCTATCCGCCTTGAATTCTTTCGGCCGATGGGCCAGCACGCATCAATGGTTCAGTAATCTGGGTCCAAGCCCTTCCGTAGATGACCTAGCTAATTCCTTCTCATCCCAAGTATCTACAGCATTTGACAGTCTTATTCCCCTGAAATCTGTTAGGTTTTGCCATTCCGATAAACCATGGATGTCTGTGTCTATCAAAAAACTCATTAATGACCGTCAAAGAGCTTTCCATGGTGGAGATGTTCTGCAGTGGAGAACTTTGAAATATAAGGTCCAGACCGAAATAGCCGTAAGAAAGAAAGAATATTACAAAACTAAAGTACAACATCTTAAGAAAGACGATTGCCGAAAGTGGTGGCAAGTCGTAAATAAGTTGTCTGGCCGATCTCAGAAGTGTACTAAACTTACCTTTGAAAAGGAAGGTGAATTATTATCAGATTTAGAACTGGCCAATAACTTGAACAAGTTTTACATCTCGGTTAACGCAGACATTCCACCACTAGATATAACCACGTTACCAGCATACTTACCTGCTGTTGATCAAGTGCCTTACATCGAACCGCACGAAGTCTGTGAGAAATTATTGGTCGTTAATGCCTCCAAAACATGTGGTCCTGATAATATTCCAGGTCGCCTTTTGAAGGAATTTGCGCACCTTTTCGCTGAACCAGTTGCGAAAATCTTCAATATGTCACTTGCATCCGGGATTGTTCCAAATATATGGAAAGACTCACATATTACTCCCATTCCAAAAGTTAAACAACCAACTGACGAGGGTGACACAAGACCCATTTCACTAACGCCATGCCTTTCTAAAGTTCTCGAAGATTTTGTCGTTAGATGGATGATCTCTGACGTTAGGAATAATATTGACGCACAACAGTTCGGTTCTTTAAAGGGTTCATCCACGACCTATTGCTTGCTCGACATGTTGCATTGTTGGCTTTCTCATTTGGATTCAACTGGTCATTTTCTTCGCATATGTTTTTTGGATTTTTCAAAGGCCTTCGACCGTATTGGCCATAACATTCTTATCCAAAAACTTGTTGATATTGGCGTTAGGCGATCGTTAATACCATGGATCGTAAACTTTCTATCAGGGCGAAGACAGCGGGTCAAACTTGCGGAAGCTGTTTCTTGTTGGCTTCCTGTCACAGCCGGTGTCCCCCAAGGTACGAAGTTGGGTCCGATCCTGTTCTTAATTATGGTCAACGATTTACAATGCGGTTCGGGGAGGCCTAGCAATTGGAAATTCGTTGATGATGTTACTATCTCTGAGGGATTATTAAGGAATGGGGAACCGTCTGTAATCCAGTCTGATTTAACTTCTATAGCTACATGGGCATCTAATAACCTGATGAAATTGAACGCAAAGAAATGCAAAGAGATGCAAATTTGTTTCTTTCGGAACAAACCTGAACTACCACACTTGTGTGTTGAAGACCAGATCTTAGAATGTGTATCGTCGCACAAGGTTCTTGGATTGATTATCCAGGATGACCTTAAGTGGAACGAACATATTTCGATGATTGTTACCAAAGCATCCAAGCGACTGCATATCCTACGTGTCCTACGACGGGGAGGGATTCCACCGCACGACCTTATCACAATTTATTATGCATTGATTAGATCTACATTAGAATATTGTTGTACAGTATGGCATTGTGGTCTACCTATGTATCTGTCTGAACAAGTCGAGAAAATTCAAAAACGTGCACTGAGGATTATACTGCCAGGTCGATCCTACGGTGAAGCGCAAGAAATGTTGCAGTGTCCTAGGCTGGATATACGTCGAGGTGAACTTTGCGAAAAGACGATAAAAAATATTGCATTGGGCAGTCGTCTTTCTTCCCATCTAACTCTCACCAGTGAAAACGAACATGTGTATAATTTAAGGAATTTTAAACAATTCGCTTCTTTTAAATGTAGAACTGATAGATTTGGTAATAGTTTTTTCCCTAGCATGATTAGTGTTTTAAACAAATAATTGTTCTTAGTTATAAGTTCTTATTTAATAATCTAATGATACATTGTAATATAGTTACTTTTAGTATTGTAATTCTCATTCAAATCAATTGTAAAACACATTGTAATTCATTTTCATGCGATGATGTGTTATTAAAATACCATTATTATTATTATTATTTACCGACAGCAACGCCAGAGACAAAACGGGTAGAAAAAGTGAAAGAACAGACTTCGATTATACACACCCCAGAGGATTCAGAAACCGATTCGGAGGGAGAGGAGGGATTGTCGCTTCCTCAAAACGAAATGGACGAACTTGTACAATTAAGCTTACGACCAGAGTCGGTAAACGACGCGACAGTGGACCCAAGTACAAATGGCGATATTAACCAGAGTAGGGAAGTACATTGTAATGAAAATGACGCGAACAGGCTGAACATACAAGTAGAAGAAACGATGGAAACGCTTGGTGATGTCGAAGAAATACCGCCGCAACCGGTTCTTCCACAAAGGCAAAGGCAGCCACCGTTACGTTTTGGATACAATGCACCTCATGGTTGTCCTACGGGTGAATTTCCTTTCATTTGGCAGGACCCTAACGTGGGATTAGTTCAAATACGAGATCCGTGGTTTGGTCCACCTTGGATTGGACCGATACAACCTCCGATGATACCAGTACCGTGGATAAGTCCAATACAAAATCCCATGTTCCATGCACAAGTGATGAACCCTATGATATCACCACTGCCTTTTGGTTACTACCCAACGTATTAGAAGACAAAGACGAACAAGTACTCATATTAAACATTCACATTTATATTTAAAAAAAAACACATTTGATTCACTTAGGATTTCACTGTACTTGATACAAATTAGCTAAAGTAAGGTAATTTACGTATTTAGGATCTGTAGTGTCTTGAAGAGAGAAATTACGTTTCGGTTAGTGAGCCGTGGCTTGATTAAGGTGACAGAACACCTTTGAGTGTTAATTTTGCCTAAAATTTTTTTATTGGTTTCGATGAAGGCATTAGACTAGTTCTACTATCTGACCAAGTTTGAACGAAAAATGTTGAAAATTCGCAGAGTTATTTAATAAAATACATTTCGCTGCAATAAGAAAAACATTGAAAATGTAATATTCAAATTCAATTTTCTCCCGAAAAATTTTACGGTAATTACTGATTTTCAAACGAGATGTGCTCCTGCGGGTTTTAACCAATTTTTTTCAAGTTTTCACAGGACATAGCTAAATACGTCAGCTTCAAAATTGTGTTCGGCTTTTTTTTAATTTTGGATATTTTAAAAATAAAGAGCAATTCACTCGAACAATTCAGAAATATATTGCAGTCGTCAAAGAAATCGCCATATCAGCGGAATGACGAAATAAACAAAAATTTCCGAACACAATTTTTTAGAACAACTATTTTACTGTATAAAAGTGATATTTTCATAAATATAACTTAAAACCAGCAGGAGCACAACTCAAAAGCGTAAAGGTACCGCGACTTAAGATTTTCCTGAATAATTCTTACATTATTTTATTGTTTGTTAATTGTACAACTTTATCATATTTTGCATGCACTGGAGAACATTTGGTGAAAATTTGATAAAAATCGGACTGATATTGAGCGCGCAGTAGCGCTTTTCTGCAAAACGCCTAAAAGGGTGTCACGTAACCTTAACCAACTCGAGTGTCTGAATTGTGAAGGATACTTATAACTTGGAACAGTTGCGTTAAGAAGATACGGATCTAAAATGTCAGAGACGACATTCAAGAAGCTCAGCAAGATAGTCTAGCGCTTTTTAAGAAGATAATATAACGAACACATGTTTTTTAAAAGTTTTATTAAAATACTCCTTTAAAAGTAAATAAAATGTAAAACAAAAATAACTCGGAGTAACACTAGCGTGTGCCAGCGTGTGAAAAATGTCACTCATACGCTGGTATACGCTGACATACGCTAGGGGTACGTTAGGCATAGGTTATATACGTTTCAAGCACGGTTGCATGCGGTGGTATACGTTTGCATTCGGCAAGGCCCGCGGCGAGACAGAATGCATGCTTAAAAATTTTATTTGTATTCGGATATATGGTTTATACGATAAGCATACTCTAGCTAGGCCTCAAAGGCCCTGTCACACTATTGCGTATGACACTGAAACGTATGAGAAGCGTATGAAAATTAATGAAATTAAATAATTTTCATACGCACAAAAATCCTTTGAAATGCCAGCAGGGCCATAGCGAGGAGGGGGGTGGGGTATTGGGGGGAGGGGGTTAACCCCCCCCCCCCAACTTTTGTAGAATAACATATTCGGAAAATCGGGTTGGCCATTCGGAAAATTACGGCAATAATAATATAACAAAATTTTAGTTGTTTAAACAGAGAAAATATTATAAAATGGTATTGTCAGTATAAACCATTAGTATAGACTGATTTACGAAATCACGGCATTTACATGGATAACATAAAACAAATCGTAAATCGGAAGGTTTATTACTTCTCAGGGCCGTAGCAGTTGGGGGAAGGGACTGGGGGAAAAAGCAAGAAATACATACAAAGTGACGTCCAATTGAAGTATCAAACGAATAATGCAGCGACAACCGCGACGATACTTTGATAAATGCATGGATAATTAATTCTTGCGATAATGCATGGATAATTAATTCATTTTATTTCGGATATCGAAGTCCCATTCGATTCGACTACGAAACAACTTATCAATCCGATCCGAAATTTACTATATTTTGGTTCCGAAATCCGAACGAATCGGATCGGTTTCGGATCGGATTTGCACACCTCTACAATAGACCTTTCCCGTTTTGAGTGAAATTTTGATCTAGACAAGCCTGGACAAAAATTTCACCACAGCTTGAAGGAGCATCACAAAATTAGTCGAATATTCCGAAGTTGGCGTTGAATGTTGTAAAATGCGGATAATATAGCCTTGCAAAGTTTGCCGTTTTTCAGTCATTTTGCATTACAAACGGGAAATTGATAATCAGATGATCAAACTGATTATCAATTTCCCATTTGTAATACGACTGAAAAACGGCAAATTTCGCAATGCTATATTACGATAATCCGCATTTTAAAACATTTTGCAACAAAACTTCGGAATATTACTAACTTTGTGATGCTTTTTCAAGCTGTGATGAAATTTTTGTCCAGGCTTGTCTAGATCAAAATTTCACTCATAACGGGGAAAGGTCTATTGATTAATTTTAAGCGGCTACATTATCCATGACAAACCGCAAAAAATCATATTACCCATACTCTTTCCTGCAATATATAGTTAATTATTAAATACGCCTTCGCCCATTTAGTTCTACTAAATTGTAAGCAAATTGTAAATTTCGACATACTAAAACTCTATTAACAACTCGAACCGACTTGACCTCGTAGCTCAGTTGGCACATTACAACCCGCATGATGTGTGAAGTAATTAAATCTGGAGGTGTTCGTTACCATAGCACGGCTGAGCCAGGTGTAGGTTCTGTTGACAGACGCATCAGTACAAATTGCGTTAATGAGCAAGCTGATTTGATATTCTATACCTCTCGAACCTCTAATATTAATATTTAAAAATGCAAATAGTTAAAATCTAACAATTTTTAAATTAATATAATGAAGTTAGCTGTCAACACTAATATCAATGACAAAGGCTGTATAATATTATGCGCTATACTCCTATAGCGCGCCAAGTTCAATTGCGCGAACTAGTATGGCTGACATGATGCGTTTATGTATTGCACGATCAAACTAACATCACACTCGATTTGTTTGCAATGAAGCGATATCAGCCAGTATTTGCTAGAAATCTTGATCCAAAGACAAATTGGTACGCGTTCAATGATTCTTTGCACGGCTACAAACCGAATCGAAACCAACAACAGAATATATTGCGTTCAAGAAATTGGCGGGAGACGTTTGCCGGTGTCACAGCGGATTTGGACCCCCGAGTAGATTTGGACCCCCCGGTCCAAATCTCCTAGTAGATATGGACCCCCCGGTCCAAATCTCCTAGTAGATATGGACCCCCTTCAGCGGATATGGACCCCCCTTTTTTAAACACTTTTATATACTAAAAACAACCCCAATAAAGGTGAATATGTTATTCGTTGTCGCGAAGATAATGAAATACTTCGTACTCAGTCAAATCAGCCATTTTGCGTTAAACAGATATGACAGTTCTATTCGCGATTCCATGAATATTTTTAAACAATAAGTGATGACTCATCAGTAGCCTTCCAGCTATAAAAATATTTCAATAAATATTTCACTAAAACTCTGAAATATTTTTATTAGCTGGAAGGCTACTGATGAGTCACCACTTATTGTTTAAAAATATTCATGGAATCGCGTTGCTCTATTAATTTGGTTTATATTATTGTGTTCACATTACATATATTTAACTTTTGAAGGGAGGTCCAAATCCGCCAACGGGGGTCCGTATTTACTAGTAGATTTGGACCCCCGGGGGTCCATATCTGCTAGGAGATTTGGACCGGGGGGTCCATATCTACTAGTGGATATGGACCGGGGGTCCAAATCTACGGGGGTCCAAATCAATTGGGACACCGGATAACTCAAGCTCGAAGATGTTTACGGCAGCGATGAAAATCTCGCACCATTCAATTGGTTCGATTCTGGTACAAGACGAAGAAGTGACGTTGTCGCAGTCTCGACGTTTGGAATTTTAGCAATGGCTGTAACGGAAAAAACAACTTGATTCAAAATTGCTTATATAGCCAGGGGCCATTCACACATATCCAACGCATTGTTAATACAATCGCAATTGATATATACTGGTATATACATATAAGCGCTATAGTATAGTATAACTTATACAACATTCCTGAGAAATTACAACCATGCATGGTCCAACGGCAACGTGTTGGTAAGTTGGTTTGACGAAAAATGGCAGCGAATTTGGTAAGACAGTTTATACTTTACATTTATTTTACAATAGTCATACGCGTATATTGCTATTTTTATGTTTATTCACTCTGTAATACAAATCGGTTTCTGTATTATGTGTCCTTCTCACACATATGCCAACCCCAAGTCCCTGCTGACGAGTCCATGAAGGACAAAACGCCGCATACAGGAATGCTGAATTTTACACACATAACTATTTCATTTTATGTCATAATTAACAGTTCCTAAATGTTAGATCGGAAAGTGTAGTGTGAAATATGATAATGTGATGGCCTCTGTTGTTGGCACAATGTATGACTAAAAGTTGTGTTGTATTTGATGAAACTAAGGATAACAAATAAAAAACGTACAACGACTTGTTATTTGCATAAATATGAACCTATAGGAAAATAAGCTAGTGCATGTGTAGATTTATGAAACATAAAATTGGAGATGCGTGTATTAAAAATGTAACGGGAAAATATATCCTGTGGCGTAAAAAATATGATCCGATCCTAAGGGTATGATCGCGCTGTACTAAAAAGCTTGTATTTGTTGTATGGAGCCGGGCATGTAAAAATAAACGAGAGAATTATTACTAGGACACCAATATGGTACTCAATATGCCGTACTCAGTCAACGTGTATAGATGTATAGCTACATGTATAACTATAAGTAGCTATATTTAGCATTCATGCACGGCTAACAAATTGGTTTTTATATTGCATGTATGCATACATGTATTGTGCTAGACCTTGGAATGAAAACAATATGTATATAGGTAAAACGATCTTTTGACATATTGTTATTGATACTACCATATAACTACCGTATATTTATGACTCGTGTTTT